AAACATATATATATATATTTATATAGAAAAGAACAAGAAAAATTTAATGTTTACGTCCTGATACTTGACATCTCTTCTCTGCTATTATCTTTCCTATTTCGGGAGAAATTTTGTTTGCAGTGATAACTTTCAACGCTGACCCAAGGTGAGCATCATTAATACGGTTTCTAATAGGAGACTTATTACCTTTCATGACTGAAAATAACTGCTCGCACCGATAAGTGCTACCAAACATGGAAATAATTTCATATGCGAATTTTCGAGTATTTTCAAACCTGGCTGGTAAATATTTGTAAAATTCAGGCACGCCCACTTCAATGAATTTTGCTTTCAAATTTGAGTTGCATTGAATCTCGATCACCTCCATTTGCATATGGCTGGGTACTGAGTCAATACTTATTGAGAAAATCGAAGAAAAAAAAAAAAAATTGTCTTCGAGGGAACTAAAATCATTAAACCTCGTTTCAAATTCAGTTGTTAAATTTGCAATTTTTTCTGCGTATTTTTGATACGAACAAGTATCATCTAAACTTGATTTGTTCATGCTGCACGTCGGGAAGTGCGTCAAATCTTCATTTTTAAGTTGTTTTTCCCAAAGAACTAGTTGACATTTGAATGCTTTAATTATGTCAAACATGTTCGTAATGATATGATCTTTTCCTTGTAACGATAAATTTAAATCAGTTAAGTGTTTGGTTATATCAAACAAGAAAGATAAATCTTGTATCCATATTGGATCCTAAAACAAACTTACGTCTTGATTTTTCGTTTTTAAAAACTGACATATTTCTTCTTTCAAATCCCAGAATTGTTTGAGAATCTTGGAGCAAGATAACCAACGTACCTCGGTATAGTAAAACAAACCCGAATATTCACTATCTAACTCACTCAAGAAAGCTGATTTAAACCTCGATATCTTATAAAATTTATGACTTTTTTTATATATGACAAAACATTCTCCATATTTATTACTTTCGTGCATAGAACTTCTTGATGTATAATACAATGCATATGATGAATGTTTGAACCGTGAATTTCACTAAGTGTTTTTCTTAGTAATGCTACGAAGCCCTTGTTTTTTCCCGGTCATTGATGGAGCGCCATCTGTAGCTACAGAATTTAATTTTGCCAAAGGTAGATTGTATTTCTGCAGAAGTCCAAAAACACAAGTAAATATATCTTCTCCTGTGGTAGTACCAGGCATCGGTATTAGTTCCAGTAATTCCTCAAAAATGTTAAAATTCTTGTCACAAGAACGAAGAAACACTGCTAATTGAGCTTTGCCACTAATGTCCGTGCTCTCGTCACAGGCAATGGAGAAACTTTCGAAACTAGATGATTTTGCTTTGATCTGATCACTTAAATTCGCGGCTAAATCAGTAACTCTTTCCGCAACTGTATTTCGAGACAATGAAATTGATTGAAAAGCCTTCACATTTCCAGGACAAACAATTTCTCCAGCTTTCATTAGGCATTCCTTGATGAAATCACCGTCAGTAAAAGGCTTCGAATGTTTAGCTATCAACTCGGACAAGACGTAGCTTGCATGTACCGTCGCTTCACTTTCTTGCAATACTTTACTAAACATGGACTGTTGCTTTTTCACTCCTAACTTGAGCTCTTTCAACTTTTCTTCTCTCATTAATGCCTTCGTAATTGTTATATTTCGATTTGTGTTGTTCGTAATGACGTTTAATATTATATAACTTTGGTACATTAATAGTATTATTACATATCAAGCAGATTATTTATCTTTTATTTCACAGCAAAAATATTCTAATTCCCATTTTACTTGGAATATTCTATGTTCGTCAGAGATTTTTCGTTTAATTTTACTACCACTTGGTTTTGATATAGACATACTGAATACAAAGGGCTGGAATAAACACGGTTAACGTTAAAAAGTTAACAAAATTTATTCTTTCCACAAGAGATAAATCAAAATGCTGAAATATTTCTTCAAAAATATGCTAACAATATCACAAAATGTCAAACGTTTAGCAAAAATCAATTCAAAACAGAGAAACTAATTCTATCTCACAGCGAAATCGCTACAAATCAATCACAGCATTAAGTAAACAAACAGTTCGCTAGAACTACAGCTACTACTGAGATGAGTTGTTTGTTCTCTGCTTTTATAAGCTTTATAATTAATTTCTCGAATATACTGGAAACATCTATAAATATCTGGATTTTTGTGGATGGCAACAGCAATTACGAGATATTTATTTATTAGGTATTAAATGCACGCGCTGTTCTATTTTTAACCTTCCAACGCAGCTGTCTTTTCAAAAATCGTCTGCGTTGCTAAGGCAACATGAAGCAAATCTAATTACAATTCTAAATAAAAAAAAACTAAATAAATAAATAAGTATGAAATCCGTAACAATATGAATTAAGTAATAATTAATAATAAAGCATGCACATGCATACACCTGCATGCACCAATATGTACATGCACATGCCTACACCTGAATGCACCAATATATCGTACAAAACTATGACTGGAAAACTGAGACCATAAGTTCGGCCACATTCGGCTATCGGGGGATGCGTACAAGTTCTGAGTGCACGTCCCCCAAAAGCTGAAGCTGCTCACACGCATTTGTAATTTAAGTAGTGTGTGTGTCAGCTCGCTGTGAGTAATCTAACAACACTGAATAAATTATCGTTAATTACTTAGCAGTAAACATTTCATTGTTTCCTTCGTCGATATGTTATTTTATTATTATATATTATTATTTGCCGATATATTGGCCGGGCCGCAAAAATATTTGTTGTGCGCCGCATGCGGCCCGCGGGTCGCGAGTTTGACATCCTTGTTCTATTAGAACTTATCGTTAGATTTTAGCGTTCTGCCATGTTCCAGATATAGAACTACTAATATATTTTGCTAAACAAGTAGTAATTTACATATGCAGACGATAATTCTTGTGATGTATTTCCATTTAAAAAAATTGATAAGTCTCATCTATCAGACATCGCAACAAAAATTTCGAGTGTCCAAATCACTGTGTGAGTTACCTACTAACACATTTTGAATAGGTGTTATTGTTGCCAGGAGTATTTTAATGATATTTACTTTGTAACAAGCAGCAGATTTAATTATATTTATTTGTAAAATGTTTAAAATAGAGAAAAATACTATATTAGAAATGATTAAAGACTATATTTCAATATTTCAAGATTTATGCAAATAAATTTAAAAAATACAAGTGTCCGAAAACAAATGTGAGCCGTTGATTTTTCAAACTGATAAGTAGTGCAAACTGGGCGCGAGTAATGTTGCAAAAACGTTGCAACGTGTCGTCTTTAAGACGCCCAGATGTCCGCGAAACTGCCATAAAAATTAGGAAGCGGTTCTTAAGGTAACATAATCAGTATCTTACCTGAACTGAAGTATAAATTTGTTCGCGTTTCACAGTAAAACATATAACCATTAACTTTTATATCTCAAAGATATGCAAATGAAAGACCATGTAACGTAGTTAATAAAAAAGACCAAAAATATTTCATTCAAAAATGTAACTAAATCTAATAACCAAAAAAAACTTCCCATATTCATATCTAAAATGAAATAATAACCTAACAAACAACATACTTGACAGCACTATTTGAAAAAAAAAACAATGAACTAGTAGTGTTTGAAAATATTGTTACGAAATGTCCAGGCGCGGTGAGATAGCTTCCCCGCAAAGCAGTTTTAGAATTGCCATAAAATAGCAAAGGAAGGCAAAGTTGCCACATTTGGCGAGAAATTGCTCATTTGGAGATATTTGGCGACACAATTGGCGATATACGATAGACAGTTGGAGAACTTTCTGGAACGAATTCTTACCGGTTTAGCCCAGAATGTTCTCGAACACAAGCCAAAAGCTATGTAAACCCTGCTGGTACGCGGAGAGTTAGTCAGTATCCAGTTGGTGTCTCGTCTAGCGAGTCAATCCCTGCGGAGTCGATCGAGTTGACAGCCAGGCAGCGAGTGCCGAGTGGGTATTCGAGTGCACCGAAAGAGTCTCGTAGTGTATCACGGTTAGTGCATCGTCGAGAGAGCGCTAACCACGATAATGTTGAGCTCCGAGAACGACTGAACCGAAGAGTTGGGAGCTTTGATCTGTGTGCCGTCGAGGGCATCGCGAGTTGTAGCATGGAGAGTTCCGAGAACGACCGAGCAGAGTCGGTGTTAAGTCCCTCTGAAGCCAGATGGCGCTGCCATCGTTACTGTTTACAAAAAGAATGTTAATTACTTTGGAGTTGGCTTCAATGGCGAAGCAGAGAGTGATTGTAGGAGCCTGAGCGTCTCTCAAAAATTAGTATAATAAAGATAAAGATATGTTACAAAGTAGTTTGCAAATTAGTTTAATTGAGAGTTACAGTCCACTTAAAAATCGCCGGACCATTTGAGTGTCCGTCGAGCCGGAGAGATATCAGCTAAATAAATAATCTAGTGTAAAACAGTGAGTTTGCCATTTTGTTTCAATGGAATTTGTGTTTGTGGATTATAGCCAGTTGCTGAAAGAAAGGGGTAAGTAAAAAACCCTTGAAACTCTATTCATAATTAACTGTTGCATTTAGTAAATTCTGAATTAAATTTGTGTGATAATTTGTTATTGATAAGTGTAGCGAAAATGGCTACGAAACTGAAAGATGTTCTCACTAAAAAGAGAACTCAAAAAACTATCTTATCGAAGTTGCAAAAGAAACTTTGTGAGCCAGATTTAAGTGTTAGTGATTTAGAATTGTTAAAAACTAAATTTAACAATCTGCAAAATGAATTCGATAATATTTTTGATTCTATTATCAATTTAAGTAGTGAAGAAAATATCGAAAAAATCTTCAGTGAGCAAGATGAAATCAATAGTAGCATTATTGATATAGAATTTGAAATAAATAATAGACTGTCGAACGTTGTTAAAGAAAATAAAGTAGAAAATGCAGTAATTTCTGAAAATACTATTGTGCGTTTACCTAAGATTTCGTTACCGATATTTTCAGGAGAAATGCATTCTTGGCTTTCCTTTAAGGACATTTTTAAAGCGAGTATTGATCAGAACCCAAATTTATCAGATGCTGTAAAATTGCAATATTTAAAATCAGCACTGAAAGGAGATGCCTTTAGAATTATCCAAATGATGGCTATAACGAATAATAATTATAAGTTATCGTGGTCTCTTCTTGAAGAAAGATACTCAAACCCTAGAGAACAAGTGTATGCTCATCTTAAAAGATTTATAAATATTCCCGTTATTCAAAACAAGTCAGATTCTGCGATTCTAAATTTAATTGATGTTACAAGTGAAGTTGTAAGAGCGTTAGAATGTTTAGAGCAAAAGTTAGATGGGGTTTCATCCGCTATATTTGCCTTTATTCTTAGCCAGAAACTTGATCAGAATACTAAGTTATGGTGGGAAAGGAATTTAAAGAAAGAAAAAATACTGAACATTACAGAGTTATTAGAATTTCTAAAGGATCACGCGAGGACATTAAACGCTTCTAGAATTCCAGTAATGTCTAAATCAAAAGCTTTAGTAAGTCAATCAAAGGTTTCTTCAATGGTTTCATGTGTGACTGAAAAACGTGCTTTAATTTGTAAACTGTGTAATGTGGAACATAAATTATTTAAGTGCCCTAAATTTCAAAAATTCAGCTTAAAGGATAGAGTCGAGTATGTTAAAAAGCACAACTTATGTTTCTGCTGTTTTGGAAATCATGGAGTGAGAAATTGCCCTTCAAATTACTCTTGCAGGCTATGCAGAAAAAAGCACAATTCGTTACTGTGTTATGAGCGAGAAAAAGTTTCGATTTCCCAAAATAGAGAGAGTTGCGAAATCGCCTCTCTGTCGGATCAAAAGTCAGACGCCAGTTCGTCTGCGGAAGTAGCGAAACTGAACGCTCTCGCAAAGCCATTTATAAATAAGGATAGCGAGTGTTTTATGACAGCTAATGTAAATAAAAATTGTAATGCAGTTAATAGAGTCCTACTATCGACAGCGATTGTTTATATTAAGGGAAATGAAAGAGAAATATTTCCAGCCAGAACTTTGCTTGACAGTGGAAGTATGATTCATCTTTGTTCATCGGAATTAGCCGAGAAGCTTCATTTACAAAGAGAAAATGTAAACGTATCAGTAGGATGTTTATCTGGGATTTCAACAACGGTGAAGTCAAAAGTAAGTGCGGTTATTTTAAATAGAGGAAACACATACAGTCGTAAACTAGATTTTTTCGTAATTCCGAAAATTACTCATTTGATGCCTTCTAGACAAATTGAAGTCTGTAATATTGAGATTCCACAAGGAGTTACGTTAGCTGATCCAGACTTTCACAAACCGGGTAAAATTCAGTTACTTTTAGGATCTGAAATATTTTTCGATTTGATAAGATCCGGGCAAATTTATGTACCAAATACAAATTTAGTGTTACAAAACTCAGCATTTGGGTATTTGGTAAGCCGTAGCATTGAAGATTTACCACATGAGAAACAATTAATGCATTGTGGGTTAATTTATGACAATGTCGAAGCACAGTTGAAGAAGTTTTTTGATTTGGAATCAATTGGTATCAGAGATGATTCCAATTCTTACGATGAAGATAAAGCATTAGAGATATTCAACAAAACTGTTAGTTTCAAAGATGGTCGTTATATTGTTAGTCTGCCTTGGAAGAAACGTTGGGAACTTTTAGGCGACAATTTTGTGTCGCAGAAAAAAGAATAAAATCCTGATGAGAAAAATGCAGCATGATAATACATTACAACTGAAATATAGAGAAACTTTAGAAGAGTACCTAAATCAAGGGATAATAGAAAGAGTATTAGATTCTACGAAACCAGTAAACAAGCCAGTTTTTTATATGCCGCATCAGGCAGTTTATAGAGAAGAAAGCATTACAACAAAAATGCGTATTGTATTTTGATGCGAGCTCACATGAAATAGGCAGTCTGTCCCTGAATGATTGTTTGTGGCCAGGTATTAATCTGAATCAAAATATATTTCACTTGCTGATATATTTTAGACTTAATAGAGTTGCAATCTTAGGAGATATCGAAAAAGCATTTTTACAGATCGTGTTAGCTGAGGAAGATCGAAATGCAGTTAGATTTTTATTTGTTAAGAATATTGATACACCTTTGCAGAATACCGACGATCAGCTAGAAGTGTATAGATTTAAGCGTGTGCTCTTTGGTGTTAATTCCAGTCCTTTTTTGTTAGCTGCAACTATAAAGCTGCATATCCAGAAGTACAGAAATTTCTATCCCGATACCTTTCAAATTCTTGATACATGCATGTATGTTGATGATCTTGTTACAGGAGCAGATGATGTATCAGAAGCCTTAAAAACTTCAAGTGAAGCAAAGGAAATTATGCGTGGAGCTGGGATGAATCTACGCAAATGGGTGATGAATGATTATCATTTAGCTAAAAAATGGGAAGAAGAAAATTTAGATATTCATTCCCTAAGCTCAAATGAAAGGATACTGAAGGTATTAGGAATTCAATGGAACATTCAGGAAGATAGTTTGAGTATAGAGACTTCTTGTTTGACGAAAATTTCGAGGAGAAAGAAAAGTACCAAACGCTTCATCCTCCAAACAGCTGGAAAAATATATGATCCTCTTGGACTCATCACACCATTCACTGTTAGAATAAAACTTTACTACAAAAGCTATGGTTACGTAAATTACCATGGGATGAAGAGCTTCCTTCTGATTTGAACGACGAGTGGTCTCAGTGGTGTAGCGAGCTTTCAGAACTTAGTAACATTAGTGTTCCAAGATTTGCTTTGCATTCATGTGATGAAAATATAGAGATCCATGTTTTTTCTGACGCAAGTCAAAAGTTGTATGGTGCAGCCGTTTACGTAAAGGTACAGAATCAAGAAAAAATTTCTGTGAATTTGCTGGCTTCCAAGAGCAGAGTTTCACCTGTCAAAAAGTTTCCTTGCCTCGACTTGAATTGCTGGGTGCACTGATTGCTGCAAGATTGGGAACGGAAGTTAAAAAAGTTTTAGATCGTAAAGGTTCATCTAATATCTTTTTTTGGAGTGATTCTAAAGTTACACTGTATTGGATCAAAGGATCAAGCAGGAGATGGAAGACTTTCGTTCAAAATCGCGTCGACGACATTCAGAAGTTGACTAATCCAGATTCATGGTTTTATTGTTCAACCAAAGACAATCCAGCCGATCTTCTAACGCGTGGAGTTAGTGCCTATTCTGTAGTGAACAATTCTAAGTGGTGGACTTGTGCAGAATTTTTTACAGAGCCGCATCTTCCCTACAAGTGCTTACAACCAATAGTTCCAGAGGTTGAGAACCTAACACCAAATGAAAGGGAGTCCTTTGTGCAAGAAAGCAAAAGTTCTAGTGACATTAATGACATTTCTGAGAGAACTATGTTGATTGACATGAACTCTAACGTTTTAGACGAACTCTTGAATATTAGTAACAATTATTATAGAATAATTAATGTTCTTTCTTATATTTTTAGGTTTATTTGTAATTGCAGGAAAGGTGAATCAAGAAAGGTAGGCTCCTCTTCAACTAGAGGAGGTAAGAATAGCTGAGGAAATGCTTATTAAGCATGAGCAGAAGGTTCTATTTTGTAAAAAGGACATAACAGGTAACTTAAAAAATTTACATCCGTTTGTTTGATCGTAAAGGAATAATTCGCGTTGGTGGCCGTCTTGAAAAAGCTTCTTTACCATTTTCTCAGAAATATCCTGCAATCCTACCAAAAAATTCTAAGCTAAGTAAGATTTTAAGCTAAGTTTTTTCTAGGGTGTGCACAGAAGATTATTGCATGTTGGCCCCCAAGGATTATTGAATGCAGTACGTTTAAAAATTTTGGCCATTAGGTGGTAGAGATTTGGCGCGAAAAACAGTACATCTTTGTGTGACATGCTTTAAATGCAAACCGATTTTGTCTTCACAGATTATGGGCAATTTGCCATACGAGAGAGTTAATAGATCACCCCCATTTAGTGTTTCAGGTTTGGATCTATGCGGTCCCTTTTATGTGACTTACAAGCATCAGAGAAAGGAGCAAAGTGAATCGTTCTAAATAAAATTTACATTTGTGTATGTATATGTTTCGTGACACGAGCTATTCATCTTGAGCCTTTGTCAGATTTAACTTCTAGTGCTTTAATTGCCACTCTTAAGCGTTTCATGGCCAGACGTGGCAAATGTGCGAAAATATTCACTGATAATGCCCCTAATTTTGTAGGAGCAAATTCTCTGTTGAAGAAATTTTACAATGTAATTAATTTTCCTGATAAAACTTTGGCCTCATATTTTACGTCCGAAAGAATAGACTGGAACTTTATACCTCCCAAGTCCCCTCATTTCGGAGGGCTATGGGAAGCCGGTGTAAAGTCCGTAAAGTATCATTTAAAGAGAACGATAGGAAATTTGCGTTTTACATATGAGGAGTTTGAAACCATAATTGTGCAGGTAGAAGGAATACTAAATTCGAGACTTCTTACACCTATTTCCAATGATTTTGATTGTTATGACGTTTTGACCCCAGGTCATTTTTTAATAGGGAGATCAATACAGACGATTCCGGAGCCAATGATAATAGACGTAAATGAAAATTGGTTAAGCCGGTGGCAGAGAACAACGAAAGTAGTTCAAATTATTTGGAAGAAATGGTCAAATGACTATTTAGAAACTCTGCAGCAGAGAAACAAGTGGATGATAGAGAAGGACAATATTTCTGTTGGTACTAAGTACTCGTTAAGGAGGATTATTTGCCAATTTGCAAATGGATATTAGGTCGGGTTATTAAAGTCTATCATGGATCTGACAATAAAGTAAGAACGGTTACAATCAAAACAAAATCAGGAGAATTAAAAAGAGCGATAACAAAGATCGCCGTTCTTCCGATAGAAAACTGAAATGATATTTTTGTATATGTATTGTATTGTTATAGTATTGTAATAGCTGTAGTTATAGTAATAGTTTATTATGTTGTTTATAAGTATATTAACTTTGTTAAGAATGTTTGTATAATTTCTTGAAATTTTGTAATTTCAATCCGGGGGAGTGTTAAGTCCCTCTGAAGCCAGATGGCGCTGCCATCGTTACTGTTTACAAAAAGAATGTTAATTACTTTGGAGTTGGCTTCAATGGCGAAGCAGAGAGTGATTGTGGGAGCCTGAGCGTCTCTCAAAAATTAGTATAATAAAGATAAAGATATGTTACAAGTTAGTTTGAAAATTAGTTTAATTGAGAGTTACAGACCACTTAAAAATCGCCGGACCAGTCGGGAGCTGGTCCAAGTGATATGCTATAGTAGTACCTAATAAAAAAGGGGTTGAATTTACTCCAAATGGTACTCTGCAATGTCTATAGGTCACTAAGTTATTTGGATCGCCATCTTCATAACCACAAGAACCTCAAATAATCTCTATCTTGTGGATTCAAATTTATCTGCAAAAGGGCTTGACGTATATCAGCTGTTACTCCGTATCTTTTCAACTGAAATCGTAAAAGTATAGAAGGTATCAGTTCTAACAGATTGGGGCCCTTTTCTAAGCAAGAATTGAAATAAACAAAATTTTTTTCATGTGCTGAAGCGTCGAATACTGGTCTGATTTTAGTAATGGAAGAATGCTTTATTACTGGATGATGTGGTAAATAGAGCCCGACTTGATCTTGCAATGGAAGTTCTACTATAATACCTTGTAGAATCCAGTCCTTGAAAACTTCTTGATAATCATTCAAGTGACCTTTAGCAACAAGTTTACGAACAGTAGTTAAAAGTCTTTTTTCAGGGAGTTCTCGACAATTAAAAATTGGCGGATGTGTTTCCAACCCCGGCAGCGATACTGTATATCTACCATCTTCATTTCGTTTTATGGTTTCACGAAATTTATACAACGTAGCAAGGCTTCATGGAGGATCGGTGATACCAATAGCTTCAAGCTTCCAAAGATCAGCAACTGCACTTTCATTAATGAACAAGGATAAAACAGAAATAGTATCATCATGTGTATACACATTTCATAATTTTCCTATTACTGTCCACCCTAAATAAGTTTCAAATGCAGTTAATCCGCATTTCAATTTCCTCACTTTGCCAGTCATCAGCTTCCCAGCAATATCTGCTCCAATAAGAAGGGATATTTTTGTAGGTTGCAGTAGAGGATCTTCCTCCTTATTATAAACACTCAGCCATGTTGCTTGTCGTCTAAATTCTTTCATCCACATTCCCATTGTCACACTTTTTACAGTAGCACATATTTCCTTTCAGTCATTAACTTCAAAATTGCATTTATAAGTACTTTCTATATTACTTATTATCCCGCGATATTTTTTTATGTTCCTGCACTAATTCTGTACCTCCAAAAAGACTGTTTCATTGTTTTTTCACCCACTGATTTAGACCCCATATCTGATGCCACTTTCGTAATATATGATCTTTGAGATCCAGTGTCAAAGAGAACTCGAATAAGCTGTTGTTTCTGATTTCCATGAATTCGGACTTTCAGCGTTTACATCAGTACTTCAGGCATACTTGTCTGATTCGTCAAAGTATGCCCTGTAATTTCGGTCTTCCGATGTTCGGTTTCTGTGCACTCACTTACGCTGGGACGCATAAGCAAATAATGTTTGCTAAAACACCTTGTACACTTAACAAATTTTCTACAATCTTTAGATAAATGACCTGGAGTTAAAAAGTAAAACACACACCTTTCTTTAACAAAATCTG